ATGTGTTATAGAACGGCGGGTCCACTATAAAGAAAACATTTTCCTTGTCTTTATATTTTTCATACAACTCTATCCAATGACATCTCACAAACTCTATACCCTCAATATATTTTTCTATGTCCTCTTTGAAAACATTTGTATAGTTAAGATATAAAACTTTTGACATAAGTGTTTCAATGTCATGAACTCTTATAGCACCACTATATAATAGTCTAGCAGATATACTATCCCAGTCTATATATTCTGCTTTTTTCAAAACCTCTCTCACAATATTTTTCTTATCTAATGGTATACGTTCCATCTTACCTATAGGTATCTTTTCTTTTAACTCTTTCAATATATTGTTTGTGTCTGGAATATGTTTGAGACGGTCCATATAGTTGTCGAAGTCATTGCATATAATCTTTGAGTCAGGAAATACGGTATGGCACAAATGGGATATATAGAAACTTCCACCGAACAAATCTACAAATGTTAGACCATTCGGTAGTTTCTTAAGTTCTCTCAATATAATATCTTTACATTTACTCTTATTTCCAAAGAACGGTAACGGCGGTTTTGTAAAATTCATTTATATATAATAATAAAAATGTTTTTACCTGAAAAGTGACAGAAAAGTGACAAAACATGAAAACATATATAATTTGTGAAAAGTGACACACAAAGTGATATTTAAAAAAGTGACACCATTAATATGATGTAAATAACAACGGTTTTGGTTTTGTCACCGGCTGGTCGGCTGGAGTTCGGTCCTCCTCTTGGGTCTTGGGCAAAATTTCTTATGGGCTAGAGGGCGCAACGCGCCTGGAAGCCCTCCGAATAAAAACTTCATTTATACTAAACATCTTCGGGGCTAGAGGGCGCAACGCGCCTGGAAGCCCTCCGAATAAAAACTTCATTTATACTAAACATCTTCGGGGCTAGAGGGCGCAACGCGCCTGGAAGCCCCACTACCTTTTTTTTTCCTAAGTCATGATTAAAGAGTTATCCATTTATCAGACACAATAATAAATTATCTTCATACATTTATATTTTTTGACACTTTACAAATCATTTTTGACGCTTTACATGTTCCCCAGGGTTCGAAAATTATTTGGTCGAGTCCCCAAATGTCCCCCAAGCGACATCCTTACATATCCATAAAAATCATAGAAAGATATATCGAAACCAAGGTGAAAAGTGCGAGTATCAAACAGCTTACAGTGCGCCCTTTATATGAATTTTGAATGAGTTAGCTAATTCATGATAATAATTTTCCCGCAAAAAATGTCATGAATTTGATATAATTGGTCATGAATATTTGAGATTGAAATCAAATACGATTATATTTTTTGAATAATCGTAATAGAATTTTAATAATATATTTAAAGAGTTATGTGTTTAAGGGTGTAATTATTATTTTATGATATTCTTTCACATTTCCTGACAACAGTTTTATTTTATGTGTCTCTTCAGATCTGTATTGGACATTTTGAGTGAATGTCAGAAAGTGGTAAGTAATCCTTTAAAATTAGCTTATACCATAAACAATATTTTGAAAGTTGCCGGATATTCTTTGTTCAGACAAAAAAGATGAAATGAAGAATATTTGGTAAATTCTGATTTGGTGATGATAAATTATATGAGGAATATAACAATATTTCTTCAAACTGTAAAAGAAATGTTTATTAAATTACAAGATAAAAGAGAAAAATTAATATATTTTGGTTTTTCATCAATATCTGAAATATGATTTTCTTTTCCAATGATGAAGTACTTACAATAATCATTGTTAGATAATGATTTTATTAAGTTTATGATTTCAACTGATCCTGTTGTTGTTGGATTTTCTACATCAATGAAACAATTATCAACTATGATTTCGCCTTCATTCATTGCATAGAAATACTGCTCAAAAATCTTGTTATTTGATAAACAACAATATTTTAAAAATAGTGGTACATTGTTTGTATGAATTAAAATGTAATCAGTAATATTTTGGAAATTTGTTGATTCATAACTAATTGTTGATGTTGATGATGAACGAAGATAAGCAGAGAGACCATAAGTTGAAGAATCATCTTTATTATCAAAAAATATTGAAAATAAAACTTTTGATTCTGATTTAAAACCTAGAAATCCAAAAATACTAAGTGCATGAACTTTTGCATGAGAAATATTTGAATTTGAAAAATTAATTTTTCCGTTATTTAGGTAAATATTATACCATCCGATGAAACTTTCTCTTCCACTTTTAGTGATTGAAGATGAAAGAATTTTGTTTTGGAATGAATCTTTGTCTGAAACATATGATAAACAATAAACTCCAGAATAATTTAATGTTAATTTGGAAGAGTCACTTATTATTCGATCTTGGACACATTCACCTTCACTGGAGAAGAATAAACATCCTCCATTTCCTGAATTACTACAATTTGTGAATTTGGTGGTGTCAACTAAGAGTTTGGTTGTTTCTTGAGATGTTTGAAAACATATGGCACCACTTGTAATATGGTCATCAAATATGCAGTGGCTGACGTAGTAATTTTGATCACGTTCAGAAAGTTTTTCTTCTTTTTCTTCCCAATTTGCTTTGGGAGGGTTTTCTAAATAATAATCAGTCCAGCCGCAATGTAAATTGATTGTTTATAACAAGCATTTGGCACTAAAATATTATTTTTGATTATTTATCGTTCCGATCAAAACGATAAATTAAAAATTGAATAATGTCAAATTTTTTGGTATTTTTTTGATAAAAATTCCTAAATAAATCAATCTTCGGTCATTTATCATTTTTGATGACTGATTGATGTGATGACCATCAATAAGGCAATATATTGTCGCCTTCATTACAAGTAAATTTGATGATTCCTTTCATAAATTATTTTGATTTATCGAATTTGAGTTACAAAGTGTAAAGCATTGTCTATTCAATGTATATAGCATCTTTTATAACTATGTGAAGAACAATCATGTCTTATTTGTCATTTTTCCTTCTTAAATTAAATACTTCAAGTTAACATGAGCAAATTTCATCATTAATGACAATCAAATATTCATATTTTGTTTATATTTATTTGTTGTCAATGTGCAATATCTCATAATATCTGTTATTATCTCTCATTTTATCTTTATTTTTATAAAAATATGTTGTGCATGAAAATTCGGTTCACTTCACTTCTGACAAAAGTGACAAGTTTACATGGCAAAAATAGTTTACATGGTAAAAATATATAGGGTATTTTTTAAAAAAGTAGTTATCTTTATATATAAAAATAAAACTTTTGATATATTTGAGTAAATGATTTATTAATTTATTTATTTATTTTTTTTAAATCAAATCATATAAATATATATATATATAATAGTGAAATAGAACAAGAGATAATTATTGATGATTAAATTGTAGACGAGGATAAAAGTTTAGATAAATTAATAAAATTAGTGTGGAATCAGACAAATTTCGGGTTGTTTGCGAAGGAATTGTTGGCTATGATGTACTGATTCATGATCAGTACATCATAGCCAACAATTCCTTATACAAAGTTCAAAAACTTGGGTGCAATCAGAACTGATTGCACCCAAGTTTTTGAACTTTCTCGAGGGAATGGAAGGGTAAGAGGTATACATTATGAATATATGCCTCTTACCCTTCCATTCCCTCTCTGACAGCGGGAAACTTTGTCTGAATGTTAAACTATTCAGACAAAGTTTCCCGCTGTTTGCGAAGGAATTGTTGGCTATGATGTACTGATTCATGATCAGTACATCATAGCCAACAATTCCTTATACAAAGTTCAAAAAACTTGGGTGCAATCAGTTCTGATTGCACCCAAGTTTTTGAACTTTCTCGAGGGAATGAAAGGGTAAGAGGTATACATTATGAATATATACCTCTTACCCTTCCATTCCCTCTCTGACAGCGGGAAACTTTGTCTGAATGTTAAACTATTCAGACAAAGTTTCCCGCTGTTTGCGAAGGAATTGTTGGCTATGATGTACTGATTCATGATCAGTACATCATAGCCAACAATTCCTTATACAAAGTTCAAAAACTTGGGTGCAATCAGTTCTGATTGCACCCAAGTTTTTGAACTTTCTCGAGGGAATGAAAGGGTAAGAATTATACATTAGACACAATCACTGGCTCATATGCTCCTATTCTGAATCTAACACTATGCAAATTTATACAATTTCTCCACAAATCTTACATTTATTTTAATTTCAACGACCATTATTACCACAAAGAATCTTACCTTCCCCTACAAAATCTAACTATCTATCAATTTAAAAAATGTTACAAAATATTAAATGAATTTTTTTCTATACGTAATTTAAAGTTCTTAAACTCTCAGCATCAGAATATCCTTACATAGCTTAGCTATATATCGTATTACTTTATGAATAAAAAAATTATTTAAATTATAATAAAATGTTTATTCGTATTTTTACTTTATTTTTAGTTACGAGGCTGTATTTCGAACTCAGGATTTGGGTTTAAGTCCTTTGTCCATTTAGGACCCTGGTCCCAAATTGATTTTGGAGTAGGTTTTCCACCGAAAAGATCTTTAAGAGCTGTATGAACCCATACTGTGTTGTATTCTTCTATTGCGTTTTATACGAACTTTTATAATATAATTCTTAGATAATACATCCGATATGTAAAGTGTCAAAAATGAAGTGAACCGAATTTTCATGCATTACAATTTTTATAAAAATATATGTTTCGATTGTAAAAATCTAAATTATTACAACATTTGAGTTTCATTAAAAGATTGATCGATTATGATACTTTGAATATATTATAAGTTCATAATTAATCTATCTTTAATAAAATATTCATAAAATAATGAGAAAAATAACTCATTGAAAGAGAGATTGCATAACATATATAAAGAGATATTGTGTAGTGACTTAGAATAAAACTTAAGTAGAATATGAATAAATGTAATAATAATAAAAAAATAATATTTTTATATAAGAAACAAACAAATGAGTAAAATTTATTAATATATAAATAGTTAAACATAGAGAGATAATCCAGTGCAAAAAAGACATGTGCCGTTAATGCAGCAGCGCTTGCAGCAATGACGTGAACATGATTGACATTGTTCGGATGAAATAGAGCCGCAGATAGGACATCGTGTTAATAGTTCGTGACGAAAATGTGGTGAAAGAACACCAATAGATGTCCATAATGTAACATTAAGATCGGAGTCACTAGATGTAAAACATGTGTTGCTGCCGTGGATTTGAAGAGAAATGATTTTATGTTGGTGAGGACTTTCTAATTCTTTAATTTCGATGAATGAATAATCGGCGCGATATGATGTTAAAATAATATTGCCATTAACAAAACCAACTAATGAATAGCGAATAGATTCGGAATTAGATAATCGAAAAACACTAAGTGATGATGTCTTAGATTTATTGAATTCACGATGGGCGAGATGACTGCCATTGATACTATACAAATAAAGTGAAATCTCGGTCAAAACCCAGAGAAGACCACTAGATTCATCAAATTTGGATGTAACAATGTTTTCAGAAAGATCAACTTTACAGTGGATTGTTCCTGAAAATGCATCCCAAATAACAAATGTAGATGAATATGATGTAACAACAATACAATCATATCCACATATGTCTGAAATAGGTTTAGATGGTAATGAAATGGCGGACAATGATGAAATCTCGGTAGGAATACCAAATTCGTATTTGATTCGGAATGAACGTGATAAACAAAATGCATAATCAACAACTAACAACAGGCCGTTCTCAGAAAGTGAAAAACTGGTGCTGTAAACAAATGTTGGTGATGTACGTCGGAAAACAACATTACCACTGCGAATAGATGTAACAATGATAGACATGGATGAAATGTCAAGTTGGAAAATCAAATCACGTGAACATTGAAGACGATGACTCATTAATGGTGATGATCGGATACTTTCACCATCAAAGATGACGTGCTTAGCTTTAAGAGACATGACTTGTGGAGTGATGATGTTGTGGATATTACAAATTGACTTCTTGTGCGAACTTGTTACTTTAAGTTTAGCACTAAATGAAACAAATTCTGAATTTTGGAATTTCTTCAATGAATTACAAAATTAAAAAATATGTTTAGAGTTCTTCTCGGATTCGAGTTTCTCGTTGATATGTGATGATGTCCTCATACCAGATTTGAGAAGTTCCGGAATAGACATGAACAATGGACTGATACATTCTTTAGAAATAGTAGGAATTTTATCGATGTCATAAAATGTTGGATGCTTGATTTTCTTCTTTAAAAAAAATCGAATTGCAGATCCTAAAAATATTAAATCTTTTGTAGCTGCACAAAATCGACAAAATGTCAAATTAGATCTCTTAGCCTTTAAATGGAATGTGAAAACAACTCAAGTTACACTCAATGCCAATGATGAACTCTAATTTTGCGTTTTTTGAACAATATCTAATTAGAATAAAGCATTTGCTCTCTTAATCTCATTCTGTTGATCATGTTTATGATTCATTTATTAAATTGAATAAAAATAAAGATGAGAAAGGTAATGCAAAGTAATGATATTTGTAACTAGGACAATCAAGGAGATAGATTTGGGTGATTCGAATGAAACCATCGCCTGAATGGCCCGTTTCGTTACCACCAAGAGGATTTGGCATATTACTTGTGCCATCAATCATGACGGTGTGATAAAATTGGATTCCACTGTAATGAATTGATGGATCAAATGATTCTGAAAACTTCAGATTTTCTTCTGATTCTGATGATTCTAAAACGGAAATACAACCTTTATGGCCACTGATGAAGGAACTCCCTCCGCCTGAACCACAATTTCCTGGTAAATATGAGTTTCCACAGTTAGTATACATATCATGTGTACGGAGGCACTGCGCGCCTCCTTACCCATGATATGTGAATTTGACACTTTACGAAACCGTTAACGTATATTTTTACAACACAAACGACAACACTAACTTAACCTTAAATATTTACAAAGCCACCAACCACTTCACCTCACTAACGTTTTCACAAACGACTTCACTACTGTAAAAAATAAACGTTCTCACTTACAAAAGTATTGCAACTCCTCCCATTGCTGTGCTTCACACAATACTTCATATTCTTCAGTATCGCTGCTGTCGCTCCAATCGTCAGAGTCAAAATCACTGTCAAAATAAATGTTAGTAAGTTTTGACAAAGCTAATGAAACACGCTTACCGTTTGTATCGTATGCTTGTATAAACTTTCCATTCTTCATTCCTTCATAAACGCTCAAACTAACTTTACCCTTTCTCCCTCGTATCTGATAGAATGTATTTTCACGAGGAACGAAGAACAAATTCTTGAACTCATGACCGTTGTAGTTTGTTATCTCAATAGTTTTCGTCATTACATCCAAATAAAATTTTCAGTAAAAATAAAACTAATGAAATATTTTATTCCTCACTGTCGTCTGCTTTCTCCAACTCTTCTAGCTTCTTCCTAAGTTCAGCAATGTTGTCCTCATGAAGTTTAATCTTTCTCAAAATTCCTTCTTTATCTAATGGTTGCTTTATCTTTCTAAACTGAACTCTACCATCCTTCATAGTATGAATGTAAAAACCTTCTGGAATAGTTCCTGATTTAATGTATTCTACCAAAAACTTTTGTTTCATTGCTTCAGTGACTTTAGTCGTCATTTTACTCTAAGGTGAAGCTAGCACAGCGATAATGGATTTCATGACTTTTAGTATTTCATGCAATCTTAACAGATAGCCTTACAAGTACTTCCAGTGTCCCTAGCTGTCCCTCCTTTTTATATAACTCCATGACATTTATAATCTCGCGAAACTTAACAGGTAGCATAACAGATTAAAATCAGATGAGGTTTTGAACCAAAATTTCTAAGCAACGTTGTCAAGGATTTTGAGGAACTAGGGACAGAGTGTGGCAAAGTCCAAGATTTAATTTATCTTCATCTGTTTCATCAGCTATCTCATCTAATATGCCAATATTTTATTCATAACTCGTGGCAAACTCACTAACTTTCATTATGTTCATCTGCATGCTTCATCTGATAGAAAGTATGACTTTCATTAACTCTGTGAGATAATGAAAACTACTAGGGACAGAGACCATGGCAAAGTTCATGATTTAATTTATTCTCTCACTAACAACAAATACAAAACTCCAACACTAACGACAAAAATAAATGTCCTCACTTCTTAACAAAGTAATATGTGCTTCTTACACCACCATAGCTCAAACGTTTCTTTTCAAACATCGATTGAAACTTATTTTGAGCCATTGGCTTTAGTCTCTTTTTCTTCAAATACGCCAAGAAATCTTCTTCACATCTTTTCACTTCATAGCCTTCTTTAAACTCCTCCTTGTTAAGTTCTATGAAATCCTTTATCTCATTCTTTGTTGCAATGGCTTCTTCACGAACGACATCGTGAACTATTTCATCATTGCATTCATGTATGACCTCCTTACTGTTCTCATGAACTATTTCAACACTGTTCTCATGTATGACCTCCTCACTGTTCTCATGAACTATTTCATCATTGCATTCATGTATGACCTCCTCACTGTTCTCATGAACTATTTCATCATTGCATTCATGTATGACCTCCTCACTGTTCTCATGAACTATTTCATCATTGCATTCATGTATGACCTCCTCACTGTTCTCATGAACTATTTCATCATTGCATTCATGTATGACCTCCTCACTGTTCTCATGAACTATTTCATCATTGCATTCATGTATGACCTCCTCACTGTTCTCATGAACTATTTCATTATTGCATTCATGAACGACCTCCTTACTGTCTTTCATAAGCGTTTCAAAGTCTCCTTTACTCATTACTTCAATCTCATGCTGTTCACAGTAGTACTTAAACTCACTGTATATGTCTTTGTTGTATGTTATATTGCTTCCCATGTACTCCATGAATTTTTCAAGCACTTCCTCATAATTCACTGTTTCTTTCTTTCCACGACCTTCTAATATCATACTTGCTTCGTAAATATAACTTCTTGCAGAACCGTCTCGCTTTCTACTTCTCTTCACAAATTCTCTCATCTTGCCGCCAAATACATTTGAATATAGATCCGTATTTTTCCCAAGTGAGCGGGGTATCTCCAATCCCAGCCCTATCGTCCTCCCAGTGTCAGTTTTCAATATAAAATCCAAATTTTTTTTGAAAATAAAAATTTCGAGAAATTTTTCTGATTTTTTTTCTTTGATTTCAATAATTCAAAATAAATTTGGGAGTAAAAAGACACTATTTAATGAAATTCATATGAGTGAATGTGGATAAATACTCTCAAAACATACAATTTATCTATTTTTCTTTTATATTATCAACTAATTAGTGATAATTTTTTTTGAATCAGATTTTTTTTCATTAAAAACATAATATATAACACAACAATGATGCACACATACGTATCTACACATCAAAATATAAAGCTTGTTTTGGTCTGGGCATCCCAACCCAAAATTCTTTAAAAATTGAATAAAATTGAATACTTGGGGCTGGGATGCCCATCCCAAAACCGAATTGAATTTTTTGAATTAAAGAATATATTTATGTATTTATAATATACATGTGATGTCTATAAAAAATACTAAATTCTAAAAAAAATTCAATTTATTCAAAACGTATACTAAGTGATCACTTCATTAGTAGGATCAGCAATCCTACTAAATGGTGAGAACGCCACTAACTAAAAAAGGAGTCCTTGGAGCTCTTGATCTCTTGTCAGTAGAGTTCATAATGAGGCATGGCATCTACTGATTAGAGATCAGAGCAATCCTACCTTACCTTCAGGAGCTACAAAGCTCCTAATCGTTACGAGAGGGAGTCTTGGAGCTCCTGAAGCTCATCAGCAGAGGCTATTTACCATTTGGGCCTCTTCTGATGAAAGATGCGAAACACGTCTACGAACCAGGAGCTTCAAAGCTTCTAATCCTTACTAAAGGGAGCTTTGGAGCTCCTGAGTCTCCATCAACAGAGTCCCAGATGGTAAATGTCCTTTGCTGATGAAAGATGCGAAACACATCTACGAACCAGGAGCTCCAAAGCTCCTAATCCTTACGAAAGGGAGCTTTGGAGCTCCTGAAACTCCTTTTACTATAAAATATGACAGTTTTCTTCTGAGGTTCTCATCAAATCTAAGACTTCAGAAGAAAGCTGTCCTATCAATGTATACTTACACTCTCATGGACTACAAGTGTACAATTTTAAGGCAGAGATTATCCGAGGCCTCTCATCAAATGAGGGACCTCGGATAATCTCTACCTTAAGTAGTCAAATAACTTTTCTCACTATTTAGGAACAAAAGAACAAGAGTTGGAGTACTTTAAGGCAAGATTCTTCCGAAATCTCTCATCGAATGAGAGACTTCGGAAGGACCTTGCCAAATCCTTGAACGCCAATATCCTTGGAACTGAGCTAGAACCAGGGAGAAGTAGCATACTATAGAGCACGATGGTAATCTCGGAAATACTTATATCGCCCCAAGCACAATATTTAAGAAGTCTAACTCATATATACAAGAAGTCAGGCTGAATAGATATTGTGCATATGGTTTGCAGAACTCTCATGATATTTAAAATTCATGTTATCCCAAAAAAGGTGACACTTTGGGTGTATCGTCCATCCCAGGGATGCAAAAATCACATCACCTTGGATCTATACATTTGAACTACATGCAAAGAATTCATTCTCCTTCGCAAATTCTTTATATCTTCTGTAGCACTCTGTACAATTCCATCCGGATACAAACTTTTCATAGAACTCCTCGTAAAACATTTGGTAAGGTGTTTTGTTCATTTCGATGAGTTCTTGTTTAGCCCTGGTGAATGGTATCTTCCTTACATCAAATTCACTTAAATCTTTCTTCATGAAGTACGTCAGTAAGTTTGAATAAAACTCTTCATTAAAGCTTTCAATGAGATTTGAGAAATATTCGTAATTTCCTTTGTATCTGCTGCTTACGTCAATGACAACAAATCTTCTGTCGTCTTTGTCAATCTTTACTGAGTTGAAGTTGTTAGATATCATGATGATATTACAAACATTCTCTATCTTTCTTACTGGCTGACACTTCTGATTTAAGTCCAACTGAGTCTCTGTTACTATTGACTTTAGTGCGTCGTGGTTCATGACCTTAGACGTATCGCATGAGCTTAGTTCATTGCATACGATGAGCTTCATGTTCTCAATAGCAGCATTGAATCTACCAACCACATTCTCTATTGCCGTTATATTATTGTTGGCGTACTTGCTAATGAGCTCGCATAGAACATTACTAAGTACATTCTTACCAGTTCCTTGCTTTCCTATTAACAAAAGTACTGTTCCAGTCTTTCCACAAGGATTTTGAACGATGTAGGCGAACCAGTTCAAAACATACTCATAAAGCTCTTCATCCTCATTACATATGACATCGTGAACATGTTTCAAATATCCTTCAATAACGTTCTCATCTACTTCATTCAGTACCTCATACTCATATCCTCTGAAATAGCTGTAAATGTCATCTCTTTCGTCAAAGAATCTCATGCCTGACTTCATAAGATAGTTCTTGTTCTGACCCGCTTCATAAATCATCAGTGCGTTCACATCCTTCTCCTCAATACGTCCTACATAAATACTCTTCATGAGCTTATTGAATTCCTTGCTATCTACTGACACAAGTGTTGTTGTGTCTCGTATTCCATCATAATCTTTCACTAGATATGTCATACGTGCTCCGTCAATAACGACAACACATCTTCTTAAGTCATTTATAACACTAGCTATGTCAATACCGTCCTCACTCATGTACTTATTTTTCCTCAAGTCCTTTAGTGTGAAAGTGTCTCTAAGTTCTATTTCAAGCAATTCATTTACACATCCTTTGCAATACTTCTCTATAAAATATTTCTGTCGTTCTTTACTAAGTTTCTTAACAGCTCTGAAGAACCATGTGTTTTGACTCAAACATCCTTCACAACTTCTCTCATTCATTCCTAGTTCTTTCATGTCATTATCTTCAACCTCTATGGTCTCATTGACTAAGGTCAAAGGGTTCTTAGTCATTGCTGGTCTTATCTGAAACAATGTTTGTGCAACAGGTTTAACTATTCAGCAACGTCCTTCCTTAATATGAATAGCTGTTTCCACTCATCTTTGCTAACAGTTCTTTCATAACCACTGACAGTAATGATTTCATTTGCTGACCTTAGACACTTATGTTCTATCATTTGTATTGCTTTTGTGTAAGGCTTTCGTGAGCATAGGTTGTATATGTCATTCCTGCAATGTTCATTCATGCCAATAGTACTAAATCCTTTCTTTGCTGTTGAGTGCATAATATCCATTAGTTCCTGTGTTCGTATTGCTGTCTCATAAAATACAACAAGACCTTTGTCATCTATGACGTACTTACCGAAAACATTGCTTATATTCTTTAACCATGAAATAACATCCTCATTCATGCTGTCAAACATGAAGTAAGGTCTTACATACTCTTCACTTATAAGATACTCCACAAATACTTGTTAAGCTCTATGTCCTCGTGAGCGATTTCATTAGGTTTGATATTAGTTCCTTTTGTCATTGCTGTCATGTACTTCACTCTCATAGTTCCTTTCAATAGCGTAAAAATACTTCATTGTTTCATAACTGCTCTAAATTCTGTTCAAAATTCGTACAACATAACTTTTTAACATTAGTGAAAGAACATGAGCGAAACAACAACATCTAACATTACAGAAGAAGTCAATGACAATGCCGATGAAAACATTACAGAAGGAGCTAGTGAAAATATTGACGAGTTCAGTGAGGAAGAAGATATTGAGGACGTCAATGAGAACGTTAGTGGGGAACAAACTCAATGGGAAACATTGAGAAATCATGAAGATTATGAGATTTGTACGACATATCCTTTTACTATTCGTCGAAAAAAAACAAACATATTAAGAGTGAATGCTTAAATAATCATGGTTATATTGAGCTTAGTTTAAACAACAAAACACATTTAAAGCATAGAATTATTGCAGAACAGTGGATTGAAAATCCAAACAATTTGAAAGAAATAGACCATATAAATCATGATAGAACGGACAACAGAATCTCAAACCTTCGTTGGTGTTCTAAATCTGAAAACAATAGAAATAAAAGCAAGTATGGCGATATAGTTTATGAGTTCGTTGATGAAATATCTGACGAAGCTGTTGAAATAACAGATTATGGTAAGCATTCGTTTGAGTTCTACTACTATGTTGAGAATGAGGACGCATTCTATTATTATACAGGTCTTAACTATCGAAAACTTCATATAAACTTTACAAAAACAGGTGCTGCTTATGTTTGTATGATAGATACAGAAAACAAGAGAGTAATCTTATGCATAAACAAATTCAAACGCTTGTACGGCTTCATGTAGGACAAACATTATTTTTCAACACTAACGCCAACACGTAGGACAAACATTCATGACTAACATTACTGTATAACATAAATGTTTTGTCATGATTTCATCGTAAATGTTTTGTCATGATTTCATCGTAAATGATTTGTCAAACATGAACGTATATGTTTTGTCATGATTTCATCGTAATGAGTGTAAATGACCCAAAAATAATGTTTATGTTAGAATGTTAGATCTAACCTCATTTCTACCCTCTTTTCTACCCTCTTGAATTTTCATACGGAATCTCTTCTCTCGGTTTTCCGAGGGAAGCAATCATATGAGGAAATTCTTCTAAAAGTTCTTTTGTCTGTTGGTTTTCAAACCAATGATATGCTTGCTTTGTAGAACGAAGAGTATTATAAGGCATTTTGTGAAGAATATAACAACCGCCTGAATTCA